TCAGAACTATTAGCCCCCCTTTGATTTTTTTTTTAAATATTTAAAAATTTTATTTTTAAAAATATTTCCCAAATGATGTTTAACAGAGCAAGGACATTTTCACAGTATGTCTGATAATAATTTTCCTTCTGGAGAAAGTCATATTGGTCTTATTTCGGCTTGAATAAAAGTTTTTATTGCTTTAAGGGTCAACAAGGTCAAAATTATGAGCCCCTTTAAGCTATTTTTTTTCGATAGTGTACAGAACAAACTATCGTTGTACAATAACTAATTACCCTAACCTGCCTAGTTCACCTAATTAACCTAGTTAAGCCTTTAAATGTCACTTTAAGCTGTATAGAAGTGTCTTGAAAAGTATCTAGTCAAATATTATTTACTGTCATCATGGCAAAAATAAAATAAAACAGTTATTAGAAATTTGTTATTAAAACTATTATGTTTAGAAATCTGTTAAAAATCTTCTCTCCGTTAAACAGAAATGGGGTGAAAAATAAACAGGAGGGCTTATAATTCTGACTTCAACTGTATTTCCAATGAGCCTGGTTTGACTATATTTTTACAGTATTTTAATGCCTTTTCTCAGAACATTAAACTAATTTGTGCAATCACCAAAAAAAAGTTAATCGAGTTGAAAATGAAACACTTTAAAACATTTTTGTTAGATGGTTGAAAACTNTTCACCCACATAAGCCACAATTTTGTGGAAATGTATCGATAAACTATTTAAAACAAAAATAAATCCCATATTCCATTTTTAAAAGGATATTATTTCTTTTCAGGAGCTGTCTTGGTCTCAAAAAACTATTTTATACATTTCCCCTTCACTTCAGGATTTTCAGAATGACTTTGGGAACTCTTTAAAACTGATTCTTGACTGAAAGAAAACGCATTGTCAGGATTTGTGCTCAATGCATTGAGAAAATGGTCAAATCATGACACTAATAATCAGAATAAAATATACAGTGAATACAGTGCAGTATTCAGTCCTCCGTTTCAAAACTCGTGACTGTTAGGATTAGATTCACAGCATCCATATATGCAAAATAAAAAACCTCTGATGGGGTTTTAAGGATTAGCATATGCTACGCTATGAGCTAAATCTGTTCAAAATGCAAAACGAGGTTTGACAGACTGACCAGCAACTCTGCTGACAGTGAATTTGTCAGGAAAGTAGTCAAATGAAAGTCCAAAATGAGACACCATCTGTTCTCCATCCATGAAATAAGGATATCAACAATCTGTCTTCGTTGCAGACAAACCATCAAAGAGTCAAAGGAAAAGCAGACACTACTTTTAGGTTGAATTACTCAATGCAAGATTTCCCAGCAGGCTCCCAAGTGGTCATCCAGTTATATAGGACCATCTGCAAGACTGTCTTTTCAAAATAGAGAATTTTCCCTTAAGGATTCAAGCTGTTTAGTGCTTCTTTTACTAAGTAACATTGAGATACAGATACACACACACACAAAAAAGTTTACCTGCTTGCTGGGTCGTCCTGAGCCAGTTTCCTTTCCACAACTTGAAGCGCTGCTTGTAGAGATGTGCTGGTTTGCTCAAGCCGTTTGTGAACTAGCACATTCTGGCCTTCAGCTGTCAGCGCTGACTGACCTTGAGGTGTTGCATTTGGGGGACAGCAAGCCAGAGGACTGCATGGAGGAGAAACAGCAAACGCCACGCTCTGGACAACACTCATTGACACTCCTGAAGAAGATTGAAAAGAGGAAAGAGAACAAACAATTAGTAGAAACACAAACATTGCTAATAGACTTTGTACACGTTCATTTGGTACAATTAAAATCACAGGCATATATTTGTGAAGGCTCGAGGCTAGTTTTCTGATAGAGAGGCATCAGTTAGTGTTGTTATGGTCAAATGAGAACAGAATGATTCATAATAGGGATGCTTGATATTATCAGCATTTATCCATGACATGACATACACTTTAGGAAAGTTTATGCTAGAGGGAATACAAGCTTTCAGGAGTGTGGAAGTTTTTCACTGTGAAAAGAGGCTTTTAGAGTTTCAAAATGATAATAAATGTTGCAAAACAAAAATCTGGATGTTCCATCACAAATTCCTTGTTTTCTGCAACCAAGGTTTTAAATTAAAAATTAGTTGTCTGCTGTACTGTATTTTCATTTTGTTTTGTTTTTGAAATGCAGGCTAAGAAATATTCAGTCAAAACCCTTATATACTGAATGCACATCCAAAATTATTAATCGTTTCTGCTAACTGAAAAAAAAATAGAAATAATAAATAATTATATTTTTACATAAATAAATATTACATTCACTACCAGTCAAAAGTTTGGGGTCAGTAGGATTTTTAAAGGTTTTAAAATAAGTGTCTTCTGCTCACCAATACTGCATTTATTTAATAAAAAATACAGTACAAATTGAGAAATTGTGAAATGTTATTGTACTATAAAAAACTGTAGTTTATCATTTAATTTAACAATTTATTCCAGTGATTTTTAAGATGAATGTTCAGCTTCATTACTCCAGTCTTTAGAGTCACATGATCCTTCAGAAACCACTCTAATAATAATAATTATTACTGTTGTTATTATTATTATTATTATTAATAATGGTAATAGTAATAAAAGTAATAATAAATGGAGTAAAAAATATATTTAAACATATATACAATGAGAAATAAATATTTAATAAATATTTAACAATTTAACTTTTTTTTTACAATTAATAAATGCCGCCTTGATAAATAGGATAATTTTGTTTAAAATATTAAATAAAATTAATAATAAAAAAACAAACTGACCCCAAAAGTGTGACCAGTAGTGTAAATGCATTTATTTATCTATTAATATTATTTGGACTATTTTTTGATCTTTGCTAAATGCAATGTTGTGCTGTAAAAATCATATGACAAAAAGTCAAGACAACAAATGCTTTTATTTCACTTCAACTTATTTTATTAATAATTTTAATTAGTCAAACTGACTAAAAATATTGAGATGACTAGAACATTTAATTTGATTCAAGTAAACAGTTTACAGCAGTAAGCATTACAAAATAGTTTTACAGTGATGTTCAGTTGAGTTTGCAAAAGGAGAAAAACTAAAATCTTTATTTAAAAAATATATAGATATATTTTTTCCGTTTGTATGCATTTAATGCTTTTTTGTGTTTAAGTAAATTTAGAAAAGGTAATTTTGTACCAGATTGGTTGTGTTTATTAATAATCTGAATTGGTATCGTTCTATGAGCTTGTATTTGGCGCTAAACTATAATTTAGAATGTTCTGTTCTGATTAATTAAATAAAAAAGGAAGAGGGCGCTACATGAATAAATAAATATATTTATATTTTAAACATTTAAAAACAATGTCACATGCACTATAATAAACTAAAAACACATCTTTTATTAAAAATAAGCATATCAAATGGTTAGGCAAAAAAAAAATAAAAATAAAAAATCAATTAAAGCTTTTCTGGCTTCAACAAAACTAATTTAAATGTACTCATACCATTTCAAATTGGAAAGCTTAAAATATTTTTGGCATCAGACTGCCTGCTAATTATTGAAATAATAAAATGCATACAGTGATTTAAACATTCATTTTCAGATTAACACATGCTATGATTTTTAAATCTATATGTGTATTACTTTTTATGTACATTACCCTGTACATTATTATCAACCTTCATTGTTATTATTATTATTATCACTGTTGCGTCATCGACAGCATGCATGCACTGCACTTTAACCAATCCTTCCTTAAAACCTTATTGCCTACAATCATTTTCCACCAACAGTCAAACTGTTTACACCTTTTCGACTGTGAACTTGTCTATCTGTGTCTACGTGTGTAGTTTGTTTTTCTTAATGCATTTCTTGTCTTTCATGTATTAATTGTCTTTTATGCAGGTAGCACAATGTGTGTGAACGAGAGTGTATGGATGTTTCCCAGTGATAGGTTGCAGCTGGAAGGGCATCCGCTGCGTAAAAAGTATGCTGGATAAGTTGGCCATTCATTCTGCAGCGGCAACCCCAGATTAATAAAGGCACTAAGCCGAAAAGAAAATGAATTAATGTCAACATTGCTAATGGGGTACTGTTTTTGATTATCTTGTTTTTTGAAGTAGGTTGTTGTATTTTGCATTCTGTATATTGACAGCATCTAAGCTTTTCACTTATCGCTGATGATGTGACAATAAAAGTGATTTGATTTTATCACAAAATATTATTTTCAACAAAATCAACTTTAGTATTATCATAGTATAACTTTAGTATTTTATATATATATATATATATATTAGTATTATTTATTTTATTATTAATATTATAATTATTATGACAATGAATGCAAATACTGTGTAAATACTATCTATATTATTCTAAATATTTTTTATATTTCATCACTGTTTTTTATACATTGTTCTATTGTTTTTTGTGTGTGTGTGTGTTTTGTGTTTACTGTATGTTGTGTATGTTTTGCACGCTTAAAAAAACTGCACTGAACCCAAACGTGTGTTGTAAGCACATATGAATAAGCAGTTCAAAAAAATCAGACGTCATTTGTCATACACTCTTTAAAATGAAAGTTGGATGCATTTCTTTAAAGAATGAATTTTCCAACATACAAAAAGTCATAGCAGTACCTGAGGTGGCTGCAGCGGAATGGCGTATGGGCTTAGAAGGGGTTGGAGGTTTATGCGGAGAGCCCGGTTTGGGAGCGAGGCCAGATTTAAGAGGATTTTTCCTCAATCCGCCATTCTGCATGCACTGCAAGACCATCTCAGTCTCTGTGGCCCTCTCATTTCCTATTTGTGCGCTGATGCCCTGACCTTTCATCTGCAACTCTTTTGGCTTATGTCTCCTTTTGACCGTATCTGATTCCTTTAAGTTAAACTCAAGCACCTCTAGGGATGATTTGATCGATTGTGCCGGCTTCAGAATATCAACAGCAGCCTCGGCCTCGCTCTTAGCGGATGCTAATTTGGTCCGTTGCTTAATAGTAACTTTGCCCTCCTCTGCAAAAGGTATGCTCTCCTGCGAAGAACCAGAAACTTGTTGGTGCCTCAAAGGACTAACGTTTTGATCTGCATGCTTCGTTTCATATGTGGAGCAGTCGCTAGTGGTCCTCCTACGGTTCTCTGTATTTTTTGGAGGAGTAGCTGGAGACATGGCTTTAAAAACAGGGCTGTTGCATGTCTTGCTGGGGCTTCCTGTACTGCTCTCTAGTCGAGCTGCAATGCTTCGGACACTTCCAGCACTCTCTGTTTCAACCCCACATGAAGTTACTCCACTTTGGGCAGAGCTTAGCCGCTTTGGAGGGGGAGGCGGTGGACCTTTCCTCTTGGCACGGATGGCAAAGGAATGACTGCGGCCTACATGGCGATCACTGGAGGCGAAAGATGGTTGACTGCGGCCGGGTTTGCGAGTGAGTGTGGCGTAAGAAGCCACATTGGCAGACGTCATGGTAGGAGCTGAGACATCATCGTCTTCATTCTCTCCATCTGACATGGCGTAGCGAGAAAGACTCTGAGTTCGCTTTTTAGTGGAGCATGATGTGTCTTGGTTTGGCTGCGCGGCTCTGACTGGACCTGTGTTTTTTTGCTTGTTAGCATCACAGTTTTGATGCTGCAGGTAGCTAAAGCCCCTCTGGAGAGGTGATCCTTGATTGGGTCGAGATGGAGAAACCACTGGTCTGGATTGGGTGTGAATTGGCGGATATGCGAAACGTGTTGTTTTACCTGTCAATATGGGTGGGGTTCTTGACGGACTGCTGCTGGAAGAGTTTGGATGAGGTTGTAGTGGCAAAACTGGCGCCATTCTGACAGGTGATATTTGGCTTTTATCCTGAGATTCCCTTATGGCATATTGTTCCTTGCTGGGACTGCTGTCTGAACTACCCAAGCTCTCTTGTGACCGGCTGTGAGGGGTCACTGATGCCATCGGGCGTTCTTGCGAGCGTCCTGACCCTCCTGATCGTATCCCAATGCTTTCTTGACTAAGACGCATGGCTATTCCGCTCATGCTGAGACCGTCTTGTCCTCCAGAGTATCCGCTGCGTGCCATGGCGTTTTGCAGCTCCATGCTTAGCTCACTGTCCTGAAAGGTGAGCATCTTTGGTGACAAGGGTGATGAGGGGCAGTCAGAGGTGTCGTGATGCTCAATGGCCACAAGCTCAAGGGCAGGAGGAGCTTTTCTGTGCTGGAGCAATGCCTGACCCTCGGCCTGGGTCTTACGGGCCTTCTGTACATCACTGAGCCGCTTAACTGCCAGCATCAGCTTTTTCTGGTGACCTAGAGATAAACAAGGTCAAGGAATTAGAATACTTTTTGGTTTTGGAATCTAATGAACAGTTGAAGTCAAAATGATTCAACCTGAAATTGTAATTATTTAAACAAATATTTCCCAAATACTGTTTAACAGAGAGATTTTTTAACCATTTTTTACCATATTAGTTTTAATGACTTTTGTCTAATAACTCATTTATTTTGCTTTTGCCATGGTGACAGTACATAATGACTGAAAACGTATTTTGCAAGATAGCAGTATTCAAATAATTTAAAGACTTAATTAGGTTATAAAGTTAGCTAGGCAAGTGATTGGATAACAGTGGTTTATTCTGTAGCCAATTGAAAAAATATATATTTCTTAAGGGGGCTGTTAATATTAATGTTAAATTGGGTTAAAAACATTTAAAACTAATTTTATTCCAGTCAAATTTAAAAAAATAAGACTTCCCACTGTGAAATTGTCCTTGTTCTGTTACACATCATTCAGGAAATATTTAAGAAAAGAATAAAAATGTTCTATTAGTTTTGCCTTCAACTGTACATGAGCATTACTAATACAGTATGTTTTAATCCACAGCTGTTTATCTGGCTTGAGTGTAATGTTTAAGTACATTTGTGAACACTACCTACTATCTACCACTCAAATGCTTAGGGTAATTATTAAATTACAAGAAGCTCATAATTTAATTTAACAAAGTCATAGTAAGGTCATTAATAATGTTACACCATATTTAAAATAAACACAAAAACAAAATGTTTCAGGCTTTCCACAAGCCCTGGGATACTTAGCACTAGTAAGATACCAACTAAAAGCGTGCGTGAACCCACATTTTTTAATCATAATGTGGCACTAAAGCCTTTACAGGAATAAACTACAATTTTATATTTATTTATATGACTATATTTTTGACCTAATAAATCCAACTGTGTTGAACAAAAACACAAAAACATCCTTAACATTACTTAAAAGAATCATATTAATGTACAATATCACTTTTAATGCACCCCTTACTTACCCAGCTTAGTGATGCCAATTTCCTGCAGATCTTCCCATGTGATATCCTGCACTATGCTTATGGAGTCATATCCATTCTCAGCTAGTTTTTTCTGGTACTGCGGCAGCCCAATAGCACTGAGCCATTTCCCAATATCAGA